AAATCATCATTTAATAAACTAGTGTTTTCTGAGTCAGTGTCGCAAAGATGAAATTGATGATCCTGACTAGCCATCTCATCATTGGACGCACCTTTAGAAAGAAATGCATCTTGGATTACATAATAAAAGAGTTTTTGTTTTGAATTTGAATTATTTCGTTTTGTAGTCGTTTAAAGCTTTCCATAGATGTATTCATTATGTTTGTAAGGAAAATATTAGCTGATTTTCGGTTAATTGTGAAGCGCTCCTGCTCAAGACCGAGGCAGTAAGCGCATCCTGTTTGTTTTCTGTATTTTACAAAAGCACAAAATTTTCTTGATATTGTGAGTGCACACAAATAAAATAGACCCTTTACAGTTCCGAACAATGTATTATTCTTACGTTTATGAGCAAAAATGACGGCGTAGCCTATTTAATTTGTTTCCACTGATGTCCTGAAGCGCGCTTCTGCTTCTACTCTCCGCACAAACGATTGGATATGCACCTAATAGCGCACATTTATCTAGGTTAAATGTTTAAACTAACATTGTGATATGCTTCAAGTATTTTATTTCTATAGATTTCATTTTCGGCAAGTCGTAATTACAACACCGTATGACATTGTTTCATATGATGCTTATAAGTATCTTCATATTTCGTTAGTATCTGATAACACTTAATCAGTAAAAGAATAAAAATTGCTCTACGAAAGATCTCCATGATTAGCCTGTTTTTGCACTTCCTGTTTTCCCTGCTTGAGAATTTCTGTCCAATAAAGGGATGACCTTAGCTCACGTGTAGTTTTGTTTACAATTTCTGGCTCACTTGCAAAAAGGGCAGTGAACCGCACCAAACAAAAAAAAAATCAACATTGTATTTGGTTCGGACCAAAGCAAGGGAACTAGTGGACTTTCCTGGTGTGAATACACCCTTAGTATTAGTATTTAAGAATTTTAAAAATATTTAGTATTTAAGAACAACAAAAATAATAATTATTATTATTATTATTTAAATTACACTAAATATTTATGACTGTCCTAATTTCTTTATTTTCAATGCGAACTGAGCCACTAAAAACACTGGATCATGAGTTGCTTGTGTGTAAAAGAACACTGTGCCACACTATTTGCAGTACATTTTTTTTAATGAAAACAAAGCCTTTGCAACTAGATAAACGCATTAAGCAATACTGCGATTTCAATTGTATTAATTAATCATGTAGCCCTAGAGAAAAGGTTGAGAATGCAATAAGAATGTAACTGTGACTCACAGCAGAGCTCATGCTGTTGACTTTATCCAGGAGGGCAATAATCAAACTGTAGAGGTTTCCAAGGTACAACACCAGAACTCTAAACAAAAGGCATATTTCTCTTTTGACAAACAAAATATAAAAAGGTAGAGCCAAACTAGAGCAACAAGAGTGTTCAAAGAGTGATTTTCAGACCTGGCAAGCTGGAAGCGGAGACTTGTTCTGGGGTGGTACATTTCCAGCTGAGCCACTAACTCAAAGGCTGAAGGAGCAATCATTGTGATGAGGGACACAACCACACTCACCTAAAGAACAAACCCAATACATATGTGACCCTGGACCACAAAACCATATATTTGTAGCAATAGCCAAAAATACATTGTATGGGTCAAAATGATCGATTTTTCTTTTATGCCAAAAATCATTAGGATATTAAGTAAAGATCATGTTCCATGAAGATATTTTGTAAATTTCCTACCGTAAATATATCAAAACTTAATTTTTGATTAGTAATACGCATTGCTAAGAACTTCATTTGGACAACTTTAAAGGCGATTTTCTCAATATTTAGATTTTTTGCATCCTCAGATTCCAGATTTTCAAATAGTTGTATCTCGAACAAATATTGTCATATCCTAACAAACCGTACATCAATGGAAAGCTTGTTTATTCAGCTTTCGGGTGGTGTATAAATCTCAATTTCCAAAAATTGACACTTAAGACTGGTTTTGTGGTCCAAGGTCACATATACAGTAAAATCACTCATCTTTCTCTAACATACAACACATCGTCCCTAATGAAATATCTGGATATGGCAGACATAAGAAAAAGAAGCAGAAAAAGAAGAAATAATAGTAATTAAATAATTAGAAAAGAACAAAAGAACAAAAAAAAAACAACAACAACAACAACAACAACAACAACAACGCTGTGTCCCAATTTACATACAATATTGCCCACAACCCATTCTGCTTTGGATGTGGATTCAATTAGAGCTACAAACAAAAAACAAACAATAAACATGGCAGATAAGCAAGGGGTTTGAGTGATTAACAAATATCTAACCTGATAAAAAAAATCCATGTTATATCTTATATCTCATCTGCAACAACACTGTGAACTTCTATAAAGATATGTTTGGCCATTCATTTTTAAATGCATCATCAACGTGCCTCTTCATTTCTCTCCAATATGGTAGGAAATTAAATTGAACAAAATGTGCATTTTGTTAACTGAGACAAGATGATTGACAGGACAGTTTAAACGGTGACAGGATGCGCATAACAAAGAGTGCTTCGTTAAAGATGTAATTATGACCAAGTAGTCTCAGAGCTTGCACACTATTCTACTACATACTCAAAACTATGCACTTTTTCTTCACAAAAAGGGTACATACTTTTAGGGCGTAGTATAAGGAGGCAAACTGGGATGCCACACAATAAAAACAAAAAAAGAATGAAATAAGAAAAAGGAGGAGGAGCAGAAAACTTGTGTAACCTCTAGCCCAAAATATTTTGTCAAGTACTCATGTACACTTGTAGACAATGTGTAAAAAAACATAACTCAAAGTGCAGGGGCATACCCATCATTTCAGAAGTGAGGGGGACAGAAATGCAGCGATAGCTGGACGCTTTTGTCCATATTAGGAATTTCCTCGTACGACTTTCTGCGCGAGAGCGCCCTCCGGCTTAGAGTATGAATGAAACATACACTGCACGGAGTGTTTGGCGCTCCGCTATGTTCATCTCGCCTTAATCTGGGTCCGAATAAAACATCAGATCATGCACAGACTATACTGTCTCTTTGAATTTAAATCTATATTTATTCACACCGGCTCTTGAAAACCTCTATGCGAACACACTTGCCCGAAAAAGTGCGGGGGACGAATTTACGTGATATTAAAAGTGGGTGGGACACGTCCCCCGCGTAATCTACGCCCCTGTCAAAGTGTACCTCGTTCTTCTCCCAGAGTGTTAGCTCTGGTTTCTCCTGCTCTAGTTTCTGAGAGCGATCCACCACAAAGTAGATGATGTAGATGCTGCCAGTCAGAGACAGCAGCACCAGAATGTTTGCCAGAATCCGCAAACTGATCAGTACGGCTCTGTTGGGACAGAAACACAAGTCAGATACACCAACAAACATCTGATCCTGTACCATCGTGAAATGGATTTATTAAGCGATGATGGACAGCTGACTGTACATGAACCTGCTTACATGGCTACTTTCAAATCCATTGACATGAACTATTGATTATTCACTCTTAATTATTTTATGTGAGAGTTCAAAGAGATATGCAACCTGAAACTAGCACTAGGTAACATCTGTAAACTGCTGCGACTGACCAACCGGACTAAAATATTATAGAGAGCTGAGTATAAGAAAACCACACTGTATTATATTCTGATTTACATTATGATTAATGTGTACACTTTCTATTGCCAGGGACTAATAACCCCAAAAGATTACTTCAATAAAAGTTTTTCTGACAGCATCTTTCTGATTCAGGAGGTTGTATGTATACACTATAAAAGCAGAAGACATGCTCAAGAGGAATTCTAGTATCATAACAGGGTTCCCTCTCCCACCTTCAGATCTAAAATTCGGCATTGGATGAACACTGCAAGCACATTATCAATAAACAATTCCTTTCTGACTTGATGCACTTCATTTCCCAGTTTGCCTGAACAAGTTTTATCACAGACAAAAGCACAAGTACACACTTCAATATCACATGGTTTTTGTAAAATAATATAAGGTAAGAAATAAAATGACATAAGTTTTTCTAAAAAAACAACAACAAAAAAACCCAGAAAAAGCACCTTAATTTAAAAGATAAAACAAGATTTCATAAGCATAAAATCAAACATAAACTTGCTTATTTTTATTTTTATTTTTATTAACAAAGGAAGATTTTCATTTTTGCAATGCATGCAATATGCCATGACTTTATTAATTTAAATCTTTCTGCTACCTTTTTAAGGCCTTAATTTGAGGAAGGGCAAATTAAGACTTTTTAAGACCCGCAGAAATCCTGTTAAATGTCCATAATGCAATAAATAAATAAAAGAAACAAATAAATAAGCAAAATATACATATTTATTTCTTCTTTTGGGGTGAAATGTGTCGTGGTCTTGTTAGATTCAAGTATAAAGTTTAGCTATAATTATCTAGAGATACTGTACAAATGTTAGCATAACCCTGTGCATGGGTGTCACATTCCCACAACATACTGTATTAATCGGCTTTAATGTGTGAGCAGGTCTGCTGGCGATTTAGGTGCAGTCATCCGCCCGCAGTAAAAGGCCGTTTGTATAAAATACAGCTGGATGTTTTCCGTTTCGCATGTTCTGCTGCGATTGCATAGGTCGGGGAGGAGATGTATAAATCAGGGCGGTCTGAGGAAGCATTACAGGCACTGAGAAACAGCACACCACTGCAAGTCACTTACTGACATGATCATTCCCACCCTCAAAACACAGTTCTGTTAAACATGCACTTCTGAGAGAGTTTGGAGAAAACACTTAGTCAGCACTTAGGGTTATGTTGAGGTGATAATGTAAACTCAAATAAAGAGGAAAACTTGCAGGCTTGTGTCTTTCTTCTTTTCTTGCTCTTCTACAATGGCCTCCTAATAAACAGAAGCAAAACATTTTGGTTAGTTGGCATCAGGATTATTAGTTATATCTAAAATTAAAACCATAAAGAAAAAAAAAAGGTTTTAACTTGATGTAATAAAATATCTAAAATGAAAATAAACAAACTATATAGATGTATGTATATGAAAAACAAAAACTACAAAAAATGACAAAAACTAAATTATGCTAAATTACTAAACTTTAAAAGAAAATGGAAAATACGGGAAAAAAAACCTTGATTCAAAATATGAATAAAAACTGTAATAGTATCTCAATGATAAAATAACACTGGTTAGCATCCAAAATACAATTCAAAATCCTAAAAACATTAATAATTAATTGTTAAGTAATATGATTAATAATATGATTAATAATAATAATTTCTGCCAAATAGGTGCAGGTATTATAGTAACTGTTACTTCAATAAATTGTGGTACTTTGGTACCATCATCATAAATAAAGAAAGAAAAGTAAAAAAAAAAAAAATTTAGCATCACACAAATGAGACTCAAATAACATGTTTTCCTTGGAGAAATCAGCACTAATAGTGGAACATAAACCTCCTGTGTAGGCAATGATGAAGTGGATTTAAACTGGATGATCACTGAGAATGGAATCAAGGACAGATTGTTTATTTGGGTCTGTTGGATGTAGAAGATACTCACTCTGATGCTATTGACGATGGCCGCCCCTTTACTCTCGGCCGCCTCTGGGTTCCCAATCAGATAGTCCCATGCACAGAAGACACGCCAGCAGAAGGTGTAATTCTCGTCTGAGGTGCCAGCTAAACTCATGCGGGAGTTTTTAGCCATTCTGATAAAAACAACAGCAAATGAGGAACACAAATTGAGCTTTTTCTAAAGAACAATAATACATTTCTTAGTGAATATGACTATGAAAAAATTACCACATGGTGAAAAATGACTTGGCATTTATGTTGTGTTCGGTTAATTTTGACCCAGAGAGAATGTCTGGAAATGCTAGTTCATGTTTTATGACATTGGACTAAAATTTACTGACTTGGCATTTTGCCCAAAAATCGATAATTTTTGTACTTTTTGCCACCTTGTTACATTTATGGCATTCCCTGTCGAAAATGACAGGCCTAGAAAATTGCCTACGGATTTTCTTTTGTGATGCTACATTATTACTAAATATTGGATTCAATCTTTTTATCTGCTTGTTTTCTTTTAGTTAGCACAGGTTTTGTATAACTTTTTGGAATTAATTGATTGTAGGCCTAATTGATCTGAGCTCATGCACCTCAGTACCAAAATTATTCACAAATAATGTTTTTCACTTAAAAACTGAGGTGCCAAAAGAAAAGAAAAAAACCTGTGCTAATTGAAAGAAAACAAGATGACAAAAACACTATATCCAAGATTTGCTGATAATGTAGCATAATAATAGATTTACAAGCAACATCAAATTAAGCAAAAGATTTCCAGCACAGCACAAGGGTTAAAAAGCACCATCATTTTTTTAGCAGATACTTTCATCAACCCTGCTAAAAAAAGACAGGTTACCCAGATCCTTAATAAACCAGCTTCAACAGAAACACCATACCTGTCGTAAATGAGTTAGTTAAAGCCATGAGTTTGACATGAACTGAAAATATAGCTATAGCTATAAGTCGATTTAAATAAAAGCATCCACCAAATGCATAAATTTGAATGTACGGGGGTTAATTTCAAGCAAAGTGTCTTTGAAGTAGTGATTACTTTCTAAGCAAAGTGATGAAGCTGTAGGCAAAAATGGCCATCCCGACCAGAAAATAGGCCAAGGGTAGTCTGTAGCCGGCACTGCCGATTTTACGCACATTGCCGTAGTAGCCGTAAAAAAGCACAGAGTATTGTAGATATCCCTGAAATATGGACATAAAACAAAAACGGTTGACAAACTGGCAGACTGAACATCAAAAATAAATGATTTGCGATTAAACCCCGAAGTTCCGCAGATAATATGCACATCATATTTGTAAAGCAGTAAAAACGAGAGATGATAGTCTTGCCCCCAGCGACCAGATGGTGTCCAGGTCTTGTGCGGAGGCAAGGTGCTCCTTGGGGATGGTCTTGCTGCGGGTGGTACCGAACGGAGCGCCGGCCAGGAGCTGATTGGACAGATTGGAGAGACAGAGGGAATGATAGAGGACAACAGATGATACCTGAGCAGAAATTGCTTTGTGTCTCTGCACCGGGAGTGAAATAAATCTAACCGTATTTTCCATTTACAGGTTTAAAAAAATGTCCTTGTTGAGTTTTAAAGGGATAGTTCACCCAAAAATGAAAATTCTGTATCCACTGAACGTAAACAGCGTATGCTGTTCTGTGTCAGCTGCACAGCTGACACAGATGTCACATGGATTATTGTACCGATCTCCTCGCTACATTTCTGGACCTTGATCGTGGTAATTACATTGCTGTCTATGGGAGGATCAGAGAAATCTCAGAATTCATCAAAAAATATCTTAATTTGTGTTTCGAAGATGAACGGAGGTCTTACGAGTTTAGAACGACATGAGGGTGAGTAATTAATGACAGAATTTTAATTTTTGGGTGAACTATCCCTTTAATAAAAGATGTTGTCTACAAATAATGTACGAGCACACAGCAGCATCTAAATATCTGTATGTGCTTTCGGAAATAATAATAGAGAAGCATAATGTCATGTACTGTACAATTTATTTGTATTTTTTTTAGTATATCCTTATGTAATGTACCTATAAACTGCCATGACATTTTGATTTGTAAGCTTTCATAACTGAACATATAGCCTATTATTTACTTTTAAGAATGAATGCAGTGCATACTAACCTCAGGCAGCACGATAAAGGCTCCAGTCATAATAGTGAGAACTATATTGATCCCAAATAGCCATCGCAGGAATATGAAATAAGAGGCCACACCTGATCCAAAGTGACCTTCAAAAACAACATATACTGCACATTTAATGCAGTATGGGGTTATTTTGACCTGATCTGACTCCTAAAATACTTTATTTATAGGGTTATATTGATTCAGTCAAATGAAATAAACTACTAGTTAATCTGAATACTTTCCACATGGATGCACATTTTTAAGTCACCCAATATATTTTGCAGTATATTTAACAGTGAATATGCATAAAGTCTAACATATTTACCATATCAGAGCTAGTTTATCATTCACAAAAATTTGATCAAATGTTTTTCTTAATGCCTCGCAATAAGAGATTAACATATTTATCTGCAGTCAAATTAAACACATATTGTGTGTCAAGATACTAACTTTCAATCTTTTTAATCCTCATCTCCCAGGGAATGAACAAGACAACAATGTTGTAGAAGACTCTGGAAATCTTCTTCAGCAACTGCAAACATTTACAAAAAATACAACAGTTAGATAATAGCCTACATTAAACATTAGATTAGTATAGTTTGCAGATAGAGGAATCCAAAAATAGATACATATTCAATCCAAGCAGTGTTGAAAGACCTGTAAGGTCTGAGCTCTCATGTATAGATCATATTGTTAAACCAATGTGTATGGATATCTGATTTTCAGTCTGCCGTGAAAGCCATAATAAGAATGAATAATTTACCATCAAATCCACTTGCTAAAAAGTCAATTAATTTTAATGGTGCTTGGGCAGCCTTGGCGAATGCCATTGGACATTTTAATTAAACCAGGCTATAACAACAGGCCATAAATTTGAGTGCAGTGTCTGTGAACAGATGAGGAGCGCCGCTAAGGCAGAGACACGGACAACCTAACTAGAATCTCACATAAACAGATGGGGGAAAAATTTAAGAGAAAAGGAGAGAAGCTATAATATGTGACCCTGGAGCACAAAACCAGTCTTAAGTCGCTGGGGTATATTTGTAACAATAGCCAAAAATACATTGTATGGGTCAAAATTATAGATTTTTCTTTTACGCCAAAAATCATTAGGATATTAAGTAAAGATCATGTTCCATGAAGATATTTTGCAAATTTCCTACCATAAATATATTAAAACTTAATTTTTGATTAGTTATATGCATCGCTAAGAACTTAATTTGGACAACTTTAAAGGTGATTTTTCTCAGATTTTTTTGCACCCTCAGATTCCAGATTTTCAAATAGTTGCATCTCGGCCAAATATTGTCCGATCCTAACAAACCATACATCACTGGAAAGCTTATTTATTCAGCTTTATGACTTTACCAGTCATAAAATTTACACTTATGACTGGTTTTGTGGTCCAGGGTCACATATGAAAAAGACAAAAGCAGGATGGATGGATGGATAGATAGAAAACATACCTCTGCCCCGGCTGCCTGGTAACCTCTCGTCCTGGTCAGTCTGCCCTCATATTTCAGAACAATCTCTCTGGCTTGCCTAAAACACACACAAATTCAATGTTATGGATTGTTAGCTGTTGCTAGTGATAGTGAGGGCAATAATAGAAGGCTTTCCTGTTCTATGATCCTGAACACATCTCTAGAACACTTTTGTTAATGTTTGTTTTAATAGATGTTTTACCCATTAAAAATGGTGCTTCATTGGTTTCTTTATTAATAAAAATGAAAAACAAACCAGAAACAACAAAATTAGTCCATAAAATTCAATGACAACATAATAGAGGAATCAAACACATACAGATGAAAACATTTTTCAGAAGGTGGGTGTATGTAATCATGAGCGCTCACCCAAAGATGATGAAGACACTCGTAAAATGGAGCATGCATCTTCTCCACCATCAGGCAGAAACCTGACAGTTATTTTAAGAAACTTCATAGATAAATGTGCTAATGAAAGCACACTGATAATTAGTTGGACAAACATCATCTTTGGACATTTGGGTGGATGCAAATGTTCAGAACCCCTGAAATAAATGAATAATGAAAGCATATGGTGGGAGCTGACATAAAATACATTTGGAAATTTGACATGCTATGCTCCATTCTATCTTTCAGACATTATTTAATATATCTAATTTAAATATTTATTTATTTATTTTGTGTGTGTGTGTGTATGTGTGTGTGCGCGCACATTTAATGCAGTATTTTTTTTACTTCCTTACATTATAATTATATTAAATATACATGATATATTTTTAATGCACTGAATTTGTGACAATGGAGGTTCATTTAAAAAGAGAAGGCAAAAAAATATGAAAAGAAGCATATGAGTTATAATTTCTTCTATGTAAATATGAACCAACTTCCTATTTAGTGGATATCAATGAGTTAAACATGTAAGATTTACGTCAGACACAAGTAGCTCCATTGTAATCCCAGTATTTTGGGAGTGCTTTCTCAGGTGCATAAATCCACAATGATTGCTTGTACACTGTACCAGAATAAAACCAGAATGTGATCTTGGCGTAACCCCAGTCATTCAAAGCGGGTGCATTTACGCATCCCTGACCCAAGCGCAAAGAAACCGCAGCGTTCGGTACCCAACCAGTAAAATAAGAAACTGCTGGCCAGGCTAATGAAACAATTACTCAGCCAATTTAGTTTGTTCTCCAAGCATCATGTTGTAAATATGGCAGCCGCTTTCAAGCACTGACAGTTAATTGTTATTTACCTTACGGGTTTAATGCGAGGATGCTTCCCTATGCCATTATCATCAGTTTCAAACATTTTCGAATGCCGTTTCCAAGTAGGCTAATGGCGGTAATGGGGTCAAATAATCATTTTAGACAGACATAATGCTTAATTCTTTTCATTCTTCCTATTTATATAAGGAATCTTACTCACTAACAACCATAACAACCTCACAACTGCTATATAAACACTGGCATCAGCTCAAAAATACCTTTACAGCACATTTTACCTGCACATTCACATTTACGCTCACATTTTGGTCTTATAAAAATGCTGAACTTATAAATCCTATATCCTCTTTATCTTGTGCTATTTAAACTGTTCCACTAGAGAACTATTCAATTTTATGATCTGTAATAATTTCAGTACAGGATGTGCAGAAATTCTGATGGCATTTTCCTAACATACACTTGGCGGGGTCTTACTTGAGCACTTTTAGCTTGCGTCTTATTGGCCAGGGTTTAGTTTGGATGTTGGCGATGATTTCCTTCTGAAGCTGAATGTTCTGGAACGACTCCTCTGGATCATTACTGTCCACTCTTTCTCCATCCTTATCCTCATCATCAGATGGTCTGAAACACAACCAAAGCTCAATAATCACTGCAATTAATCTTACAGTAACATTAGACTTTTATTTGTGCAGCACATAACAAAACATTGTTGATTTATATTAAAAAAAGAACATGAACAATACAATGGATGTACAAAAAAATAAAAATACACACATACACATGTGCATAAATTCCAATATTTGTAATATTATAATTAAATGTTATAACTAAACTATAATTAAACGTTGAATTAATTATGTGGATACTGCAAAATATGTAGACACTTTTAAGGATGAAGGTGAACTGGATTCAGAACCCTAAAATTGTATATACAACCTGTTATAGTTTCTAGTTGTATGTAAAAAATGATAAATGATGACTAAAGTCACTTTCTGTTCTCTAGTTTGCTTATGAAACTTGTTATATGCAAAGTGGGTCGCACACAAATCATACTGTCTTTATGTGAAGCAATGTGGACTGTGTATATAATGCAACAGATCCACATACTGTACATGTGTAAAATACATGGATGCTTGTCATTTAAATTCCTTGTATGATATAAATCAGACTCAGAAATGATGAAAACGTGATATACAAGATTTTTCAAGAATTATATACATTTTTGAATATAAATTTCTATAAATATAGTTTATAAACTAAACATAGTTTATATGCAAACCAGAAGTTACGAAGTTTTACATTTAAATTGAATATAATGCTTTGTTATGCTATAAAGGATAAATATTCAAAATAATTAATAAATAAATAACATACCTAAGAGACTGAATGCTACAGTCTACAAGTGTCAGGTGCAAAATAAACCAATGTAACCTAGAGTTAAAAAATAATTTCAGATTTAGACAAAAAGGTGACTTACCCATTATCGTCTTGATATGGGGAATAAATCCTTCTGGAATTCTTTCTTATGCTCTTATGTCGCTTGGAAGATATCAGGGGTCTGGTTATAGTTGCTGGTTTTGCCATTTCGCTCATTTCCTAGCCTTAGAATTTTCTGCAGTCTTCAGTGAGCATGTGTCCCATCTGTAGAGACTCTGGGGGGAGCACGAACGAGAAGCGCTACCTGCCCGATTGGATCCTACTGAAACGCTGCATAAGCCCCTCCACCAGATGAGTTTAAACAGACAATCACTCCAATGACAGCTGGACTGGCTTCTTAAAGGGACAGCGCGAGAACTGCAACCTGCTGATGAATGCATACACCTCTGTACAAAGCGATTCTAACAAGAGAGAAGACGTAAACACTATTCTCACACTTCACAGCAAACATTGTACATTAAAACACTAGTTAACAACCAAATATTAAATTGATTAATTCTCATTTACTTCCTCAAATGTTATTCTTTCTTCTATGAAACAAAAGCAGATTGTCTGCGCTTCTGCTTGTCACATGACAAACAATTTTAAAATGTATAAAGCTGAGCTTCAAATGGGACGAAAACAGACAGCATTAAATTCATTACAGCAGCTCATACAACTTGTTATATTTTAATGCCATACAATACCATTTTGTATTTCTTAATCGTAATAATCATTAGTTATATAACCAACCCCTCTGTCATAGCTATTAAATGTCATTTGCGGTCATGTTTATCCAAGTTGCAACGTCACAATCAGGAGACACGTGAGATGATTGCATGATACTTCTAAATATGTCATTTTTTAATTGCACACCAACACAAACCTTCCTCTTTCTTTCAACAGTCTATTTTACATGACATTTTCAAATTCCATCTGGAAAAGCTTCATGCATACTAGATTTTCAATTTTTCTCATGACAATAGTTAGTGTTCTGTGCCACGATCAATCGTGTTAATTTACTCTGGAGTTTTGTCTGAGCGGTAATAAACAGACAGATAATATAGATGAAAAACGCACCATGAATTTTAAGTAGGCACACATGGGCGAAATTCCAGTTTTCCTTATAAAGTGGCCTTAGAGTGCGCTGGAATTAAATAACATCGTCACGTACAAGGAAAATAAATGTCCCCACATGCAAAAGAAAAAAGGCCATAGTAGCTCAATATGATAATGTGCCATATGTAACACTAGCTCACCACTTTCACTTTTCCATAAGCACAAGTCTAACTCTTTTATAGAGCACATCAGGCCCATGAAGAACACCAAAGTGTTGCGCTATTTTTAATATTTTCGCATTTGTTAAAGGGGTCATATGATGCAATTTCAATTTTTCCTTTTTCTTTGGAGTGTTATAAGCTCTTGGTGCATAAAGAAGATCTGTAAAGTTGCAAAGACTAAAGTCTCAAATCCAAAGAGATATTCTTTATAAAAGTTAAGAGTCAACCACGCCTACCTAAAACGGCTCGTTCTAACACGCCCCCACATGCCTACGTCACGATGTGGGAAGATTTGCATAACGCCGCCCAAATGTTCACGCAAAGAAAGAAGGCGTAACTTTTATTCTTGCTGTAGTATTGTTGTTCCTGTCGCCGCCATGTCGTGAAGACGCTGTGTGTTTCGTTGTGAAAGCGAAACTACTTTGTTTGGCCTTCCAAAAGAGGACGATATCCGCTTCGTCATGCCTAGAGCTGATCCGTGCTGGTTGCTGAGGAAATACATCAACTTTGCGCTTTCGATCGCCGGATCGGCTTTCTCCGTGGACGAAGCGGAGTCCAGTCCATTGTCACATGTGGTAGCTGCAAGCCCGCCGGACGCTCTTTCGTTGAATCCGCCGGCCGCGCCGTTCTCAAGCCCGCCCGCCTCTGCTCACTCAAGCCGGCCTCCGCTCACTCAAGGCCACGGTGTGTAACGCTGTTTCATTGTGAAAGCGAAAAATAGAAGACAATGTTAGCATCCATTAATTTTAATTGTTGGAGAAAACTGGTTAATTTTAAGCTTTTTTTTTTTGCGCTATTTTCATCTTCTGGATTTAAAATCTAGTCAAATCTAGTAAGCTATGCTATCTTTTTTTTTTCTGAAGCAATCATCTTACAAAGCAAAGATATCTGGATTATAGTTAGTCAGTGCTTGACACAAACCTCAGAATGGTGACAATCAACAAATGCAAAAAGATGAGCTTTTACATCACAAAATAAGAAATAACTAACAATAGTAATAAAAACAAAAACAAAAGTATGAATACAGTCAGCAAACAGCAAAACAATAATCCTATACCAGTATAACCACACAATTTATTCATGCTGCAATGCATATTGGGAACTCACAAACACTTCAGCTATAACAAATGCAACTGATACTGTGACAGTAGACAATATAGAGCTGTATGGTCTAATACAGGAACTGGTCAGGTATTAAAAAATGTACTCAAGCACTGAATAAAGCAATAAGAAGAATTCATCCTATTGGAGTATAATACTACAATTCTCATAATTGAAAAGTATGCACAAACATATGGAAGTAAGATGCAAGAAATAAAACTTGCAAGTGCAAGATAAAAAGTTGAAAAAAAGAAAAAAAAAAATCATAGAAAGTCAGAATTGCAATTTTTCTCACCATTTCAAGTTTAGATCTCAGAATTCTAACCAACTTTCTCTGAATTATGAGTTTCTCATCTTGACATCTTGCAATTTAGTTTTTATTACTGAAAAGAATTAAAAAATGTCAGAATTGCGAAAGAATTATAAACTCAGAATTGTGAGAAACTTGAAGTTTACATCTCAATATTCAGTTTCTGCCAAAAAAAAAAAAGCGAGACAAAAAGTTGAAACTTTTTTATTTTTTAATTCCGTGGTGGAAAGAGACTTCCATACATGTACAGTATGTCTAGCGCCTTTTTAATTTTTTTTAAAGAGTGTGTTAAGCCATGTGAAGAAACGACCATTTTTTGAGGAATCTTGCAGCACTTGCGATTTTATTAGCTATAGTCCACTAAAAGTTATGTCTCACATTGTGCACACACACATTTAAGCCTGAACACTGCCGTGACTAAAATGTGGTCAGGAGAATGAGCATTGTGCAGTCCAAATGTGCAAGCGGAAATTAATGAAATGACTTCTAACAGCCTTCTTCTTAGAGTATAGTTTTAATAGGCCTTTGTTAATGTACTCTCATTAGGTTCATTCTCTATTCTTCACAATGCTTGTGGACTTTTAGATCAGTTTATATCAGATTTCATATATGTACATTTACTGTATATAGCATAATACAAAAGGCGGCAGAAGTTACAGGTAATTCAAAAATACCTCTAAAAGCATTGATGCCATCATTGGTCAGAATCATATGTATAGAGCCATTTTGTTGTAATTTTTCCACCGCCGAGTGTTTATCTTGAGCCCCGAAACAAATGACAAATTACAGTCCCAGAGGTCCGGTTTCAATTTAACATTTAACCCAATAAACACAAATCAATGAGGCTTATTGATCGCATATGAGCTGTGCTGAAACAGTAACATAAAAAGATCCTTTCCCAAACATAACATCAGTTATCATTCCAATCTTATTATGATATCAGTTATCATGCAAAGAAGAGTAAAATCTACTTTACTAAATACAACTGAACGACAAACATATTTACAACCATAATCTTTTATGAATTCAGTTAGAATAATAATTATGATTACTTTTTTATTAGCTGTTCTTTTTGTTGTTGTTTCTACTTATACGGATTATAATGACTTATACTGTCTTTTAACGCATTGCATCGCGCCGCGTAAACATAAAACCATCTGCATTTGTGATCGGAGAAATGACAAGCGCTACTCTACACTGTTCAAAGCTCGCATTTGACTGGAACAGTGTTGTAAATACAACTTAACCGCTGATTTCTAGCCGTGTCCTCTTTTGGAAGGCCAAACAAAGTAGTTTCGCTTGCGGTAACCAAATGTGACGACCCCGGGCTGGACTTCATCCACGGTGAAAGCCGATCCGGCGATCCACAGCGCGAAGTTGATGTATTTCCTCAGCGACCAGC